AGAAGAAAAAAAAACGAATTTTATTTTAAAAAAATATCTATATAAATAATAGTTACATTATTTTCAAAGTAAACTTTATTTTGATCTCGTGATAAATAAAAAATCTTTGATATTTTTTCATCAGAAAGAAGATCAAGAATTAATTTTCGTGGAAGTGGAATAATTGTTAATAAATCTTGATCAATATTTATTTCAAAAGGTTTTCCACTAAGTTGAATTTTATCAAATAAATTTAAAATTTTTTCAAATAAATCCAAATCCATTATACAAATATTATTTAACTAACTTTTTCTTTTCTTTTCTTTTATCAGTTAAATTACAAATGATAAACATTTTACATTCAAAATTTATATCCAACTTTTTTTCCCAGAGAACTTTCAAAGAAAAACTTTGATAGATGACGCTTTCTTTTTTATTTAATTATTTATTGGTCAACATATATCAAATCAATAAATGACGTATTGTCTTACAACATAACAAACTCCAACTGATTCATATTTTATTTCCAGATTCTACTTCAGTTATGCATTTTATCTATGGTTTAGTATGAAGAAATTCTATAGAATAATTTTCATATAAAAAAATTCAAAATTTCATTTCTAATCGAATGAGATACATCCTATCACAGGCAAACTTCTATAACACATGTCTTTTAGACCGAAAACGGATTTAGTACACAGACAGAGAAGAATAAAACATGGAGTCTTAAGTGGATTAATATAAAACGTACTATGTGTGGCGTCCGCTGAAAATGTTGACGAAAATTGAATATGAGACTGATTCAAGTCGATTGAGAAAATAATTCTCTATCGAACTGCACTTACAGTTTTTTACGATAAAATCTTTACAGCTGAAAATAATCGAGACAATCTGACCAATCGAAATAGAGATGAGGTATAGTCACTTTTATTCGGAGATAAGACTGAAATTGGAAAATCTGATTGAATGATAAAACCTATCTCCTATACAAGCATATTCAATATAACGGATGGTCGTGGGAAAAGTGTGAAGATCTTTAGTGAGATCGAATGTATTAGTATGGTGGTGATTTGATAAATAAAAAGAAAATATGGTTGCCTCTAATCAATATATGATAATCATCTTTCATTTTCAGTTGTCAATTGTATTATAGTAAAGAATTTTGAAATATTTCGATAAATAAAATATTTGACATAGATGTCACTAATTGAAAATGCATTTTATAATAATTGAAATAAAAAAACATGTTTTTATCCGTATGAGGGTTTACTAATTGTCGTCATCGATTGTTGTCATTCTGTTTTGTAAGAGACTTGTCAATTTATTTTTCTATGGTAAATCCTATATTAGTATCTCACAGAAATGAGAAAGGTTTTTTAATGTTTTTATGGGAAAATTCATCTTTTTTCTCTGAAGTTTGTTCGTTGTTGTTTTTTAATGTTTAGATTATTAAATTGTAACAAATTTGAAAAGAAAATGATATTCAATGTTTTTCTCAAGTATATATATAAATATTTGCTGCATGATTATCATTAATTAGATTATTTACTCAAGTAGATTAGCATAGATATTCTATATCATTATTTTATTCGAGATTTTATTTTCATCTTAAAAAAACAAAAATATTTATTAGTTAATTATTTATTTTTAATTTTAGATTTATAATTAACCAAAAACTAAAATGTTCAGAAAAGTGAGGAACTTAATATATAGGAGATTGTTTTAGAAAGAAAAGTTGACAAACTTTAGAATTTCTCATAGTATTTCAATAGTTAAAAAATATTTATTTTGTCAATGTAAGTGACTATTTTATCTGCAGAAACTTCTTTATACCTAATACTTAAGATCGTGCAAGATTATTTGGTGAGATAGATATTTACTTCTCTAAATCTTGTTTATACGCTTTTCAGAGATATACATCGCAGCTGAAAATCTCTTGTGTCCTTTGAAAAAAAAAGCTATCGCGCCACGATAGTTTTGAAAAAAGTGTTTCTAATTTGATTTTTGCGACTATATTTGACCATAAATGTCCTCGAAAAAAAAAATGTTCCCACTGCCGCACCGGCATAGAGATCTCTGACTGTTAAATAGTAATAGATAATATTTGTATAGAGAAAAGTTGTTATTCTAATAGAAAAATAAAGTTGAATTATTAAACTAAAGAAAAAGATTTTTTTAAATAAATATTCGAATATTTTCGATTGTATAAATAAAATAAATAATTTTTTGAGAATATATTTTGTTGGAAAATAATCTTCGATATAAATACGATAAATAATAAGTAAATATTATAAAAAAAATAAATTTAATCTTATAGATAAAAGAAAATTATTAAATAGTATCTGTTTAGCATGATAATTGATTATTTATGCTTTGTTATAATAAAATAATGATTATTAGTAATAAAAAAAAAAGTTAAATATTGATTTATATATAAAATATTTAATTTCTAATAGATTGGTTGATAATCGATTCAATTGAATCGAGTGTGAATAAAAATCGGTTTGTCGCCAATGTCTAGAGTTGCTACTGCCACTGGTTATTTAGAAGAACAAAGTCAAGAACAAGAAATTCGTAAAAGATTATCAAATAAAAATCCTGAAAAAAAGATGATACCATTATTTTATCGTCGAAAACGTCCATCAAATTTATTTAATTTAATGCGATATTTATTATTTATATTAATATTTTTAACATTTATATTAATATTATATTCATCATTATCATTATCACCATTTCTTCGTTTACTTGATCCATATTCATATGTATTAGTATTAGATGCTGGTTCAACAGGTACACGTATTCATGTTTATAAATTTCGTTCATCAACTGACAATGAAAATGATGATACATTTGTATTAAGAAGTGAAGTATTTAAAGAATATAAACCTGGTTTATCATCATTTGCTGATCAAGTTTATAAAGCTGAAGAACAAATAAATGATTTATTAAAAATAGCTGATAAAGAAGTAAGTCGATTCAAACATCGAAATACACCATTAGTTTTACGTGCTACAGCTGGTTTAAGATTATTAAATGAAACAAAACAAAAACTTTTATTAGATTCGGTTTCAAATACATTTAATAAATATGGATTTTATAGACCAAAAATGGATATTGCTGTTATGAATGAAACAGAAGAAGGAATTGATGCTTGGCTTACACTTGTTTATCTTAAAGGTATTTTTTTTTTCGTTATAGAAAATAAGGAATTATCAATTCATTTTTCAAAATGATCAAACATAAATATTTCTATATACCACACTCGATTATTAACACATTTGAGACAATGAGACATAGTATATGATTATACTCATTGTAGAATTGAAGTCGAGTCAAAGATTTTTTTGTTTTGATAAGTTAACTCCTTTTATAGAAAAAAAAAATCAATTTCTTATGCAAACAACAGATCAAATATCAAGACTCGATAATTTCTCTTTATTTTCGTTCGAGTTACTTATCCTATAAAGAATTTCAAATATTCTCGATTCTATATGTTCATCATGACTTATCTTATCAGAAAACTATAAAAATAAATCGGATTAATTCTATTATATTTGGTAAGACACACTCATATTTGTAGGAGAGATGCTCATAGCAGCGTTGACGCCGTTGTGAGAGCATCAGATTTCTATCCGTGATAGACATATTTGATTTGTAGGTAATATTTAATAATGTTTGGTTTATTTTGATTGAGTTTGTTGATTTATTTTTCGATATCGTTGATCTAATGTATTTGTGATAATAATAAAAATATTGAAATAAAATATTTTAGGTGAACAATTTTATGCAAGTCGTATAGCAGCACTCGATTTAGGTGGTGGTTCAACACAAATAACATATAATCCATCATTATCAAATACAAGTTTAGCTGAAAAATTAAATTTATTATTAAAAGCTCAACAACCAATTGAACCTAAAGAAATAAATGCATTTCGTGATTTAGCTAATAAAAAGAAAAAACAAATGCCAAGAATTGATGTTGATCAAGCTGATTTAGAAGAAATAAAACCAGCTAAAATAGTTAATATTCGTGATAAAAAAAGTGATAATAAAAATTTAAATGAAGAAGAAATATTAATGAGACATATGCATCAATTTCGAATGTTTCGTCGAGATATAAAACTTTATTCACGTTCATATTTAGGTTATGGTTTAATGATTGCTCGTCAAACAATATTTATTAATGAAACAAATGATAAACAATTAATTCAATCACATCAATTAAAAAGTCGATGTTTTTTAAATGATGTTACTGGAAAATTTAAATTTCAAGAAGTTGTTTGGACTGTTCAATCTCAACAAGGTTTTCAATTTTCTTTTTCTTTTTCTTTTTTTTTAATAAAAAATAATAAATAATGTGATTTTGTTAAGATATAAATGAAGAGGAACGTTTTTATTCGTGTTTGTCATTAATTGATGATTATGTTGGTTTAAATGTTGAAAGAGGTGTTGGTCTTGATCAAATGTCAATATATGTATTTTCATATTTTTATGATATAGCAAGTGAGGCTGGTTTATTATCAAGTGAAGATGATCCATCATCAATAACAATAATGCCAATAAGAGTATTAAAACAAACAGCTAAAAATGTTTGTCAGGGTAGAACAACAACATCAAAAGAACATCCTTTTTTATGTTTTGATTTAACATATATTTATTCATTATTAACTAAAGGTTATGGATTATCTGAAGAGGTTTTAATTCATATTTGTAAAAAAATTCAACAATTTGAAGTTGCATGGTCTCTTGGTTTAGCATTAAAATTGTTATAGAATATTCCTTCTTTTTTCTTTTTTTTTTTTCTTTATTTAACTTTTATTGTTATTCACTTTTTCTTTCTTTTTGGCAACGACAAACAGATTTTTGTTTTTCAATCGATGTCTTTATTCTTTCTTTTCTATTAATATATTGGAAATTTAATTCTGTTTATTGTTTTGTTTTTTTCATATTTTATGAAAAAAAGCTTATTTGAGAATATTCTAATATTTAGTTAAATAAGAAGAATTAAATTAAATCTAATGTCAACGCATAAAAAAACAAATAAAAATAAACAACAACTTAAAATTGATATAACGAGTGATAATATTTGTCGTGAGTAAAATAAAATAATATTTGAGAATAATAAAAAGAAAAATGTTTATCTTGTAGCATGATGTTACATTGGTAAACGTCGTTTAGAAAACGCACTTTCTCAAATAAATCTCTCTAATATAAATCTATCAATAAACTGGTATCCATTTCAATTAGATCCTAATCTTCCACGTGATGGATCAGTTATGAAAATCGATCGTTATAAAGAAAAATTTCGTAAAAGTTTTATTAGAGAAAACTTATCAGAAATTATTGAAATAGGTAAACAAGAAGGAATTCATTTTTCATGTGGAGGTCAAATTGGTTCAACATTTGATTCACATCGTCTTCTTTATTATGTTAAACAAGAAGAAAATGGTGAAAATAAACAAAATGATTTAATAGATGTTTTATTTCGTGCTTATTTTGAATAAGAACAAGATTTATCTGATCATAAAATTTTAATTAAATTAGCTGAAGAAATTGGTTTTGATTCAAATAAAATAAAAGAATTTCTTCAATCTGATCAATATAAAAAAGAAGTTGAACAAGAAATAAATCAAAGTCGAGAAGGAGATATATCTCGTGTACCACATTTTCGTATTAATGATCGAATTGAACTTAGTAGAGCTCAACATCCACCAATATTTATTCAAGCTTTTAGAAAAGCTGGTCTTCAATTTAAAACTAAACAAGTTAATTCCTATATTTATTTCTGATCTTATTTATTTTGTTTTTTTTTTCTTGAAAGATTTCTTCACGCAAATGTTTTTTCAATATCGTATAAAACATCTTTTAGTATTTTCATGTAAATGATAATTTAATTTTTTTCTTTAGTTAAAAAAGTGTTAATAACGAAAGTGAAGTTGTCTTGGTGTCATATATTGTTGTACAAGATCCATTGTAACTTCTTTTCGTCGTTCTTGATGTTGACTAACTAATGTTTGTAAAACTTCAATTAAGATTTTTTTTAATTCACCAGTTAATAATTTTCCCGATGAATAATCCTTTTTTATTTTCAAATAAAAAATAAATAAAGATTTATAAAATCGTAAATAAATAATTTACTTGTCGAATTTGTTCAAGTCTTTCGTCATCATCCATAAAAAATCTAAGATATTGAAAAGAAACATCAACAGCACAATCTCCACCTTTAGCACGATGTTCTTCAATTGATTCTTTTCCTCCACTGAATGCATATTTATTGATCTAGATTTTTGTTTTTCTTTTTAAATTAATATTTCAAAAAAGAAATTTACTTTTGTTTTAATATCTTTTGGTGAATCAGTTAGAAAAATTGATGAATTGGAATCCGATGCAGACATTTTAGATTTTGATCCTTGAAGTGCAGGAAAAAAAGTTGAATGAATTAATACTGGTTTTGGAAAATTTAAACGTGGTGCAACATCACGTGCCATTCGAAAATATGGATCCTTTTTTTTTGTTTTTTATAAATAATTATTATTTATTATTTATAGAAATCAATTCTAATTACCTGATCAATAGCACATGGAATTAGACAAGGATATTCTTGTTGAAGTTTTTCACCAAAAATAGATGGAAATGATGAACTGAGAGAAGGTGCAGCTTCAATAGCAGGAAAAGCAATTTTTCCAATAGAATCACTTTCAGTAAAACCAAATATTCCTATGAGAATAAACAATATTTAAATAATTATTTTATTAAATCATTCTATTTTAATATTAACCTTTTACTTGATTGAAAGTAACACATTTTTGAATACGACAAATATTTCGATAAAAATTTGGACATTGACTAATTTTTAAAAAACAAAACATTTTTATTTAAAGAAAAAAAAACAAATAACTTACCCCATATAATCAAAATCGGAAAAAATAAATGTTTTTGTTAAATCAAATCCACATGCAATTATATCTTTAGCATTTTCATATGCATATTTATTTGCTTCTTCAATTGTTATATCTTTCCAGAGAAATTTTTCATCATCAGTCATTTGTATTACTAATGGAACATCAAATGCATCTTGTAACCATCTTTAATTATTATTTATTTATTTTTATCTTGAAAAAAAAAATTTCTTTTGTTTTTTTACTTTGTCATTATAAATGGAATAAGATGACCAAGATGCATTGCTTCACTTGATGGTCCACGACCTGTATATAAGAAAAATGGTTTTTTCTGTTCATACGCTGTAAGAATGAAATCAAGATCTCTAAAAGAAAAAAAAAATACAATGACATTATTTATTTTTTAAAAACTGGATTTTTTTTTAATGAACCTGTGTGAAAAAAAAATTCCTCGTCGAATAAAATGATGAACAGGTTTTTTAATGATTGATTCAATACGTGCTATTAAATCAGGAGAAATTTTTGATGAACCAAATCGACCTTAAATTAAATCAATAGAATATTTAATAAATAATATTCAATAATAACATACGAATAAGTTTATCATAATCGATTCCTGTATCTGAATGACCGATTACTTCCCATGGAGTAACCTTGTCTTCAACTTCGTCGATTGTTTTTTCAACTACTTCTTCTGCTATTGGGTATGACATTCTAAAATCAATTATAATATTACATCAAATATCGATCATTTATATTCGTTCAATTGCATCAGATTATATTCTTGATACATGGGAAGACGTCAGGTCCTTGCAACAGACACTTTATTCTATTATAGTTTCTATTGGTACAACAATTATCCAGTTAATTCGAAGTGGAACGTTGTGCGTTTTCCTTGCCTTTTTGTCATTTATCAGAGAAGAGCATTTTTTTTCTATTGAAACTTAGAAAAATATCATCTTTTTATCTTATTTGCAGTTTTATAGAATTGAATGGATCACTAATCTTTATTAGTCATTTTCGATAGATACCACTAGATACTGGATATTTTTAAAACCTACAAACACCTACGAATCTGAAGGTGAGACCATTCATAGATCGAACTCGGCAAGATGATTAGCTCCTTGGGGATTCTCACAGGAAAAGCTGATCTAGACTGCATTTTTTAACAAAAGAATGTGAGAAGGGATTTATTAGATTTCTATACCCATACAGAAACCCTTAACAAAGATAAACCGGGATGCTGCTCAATCTACCAATAAAATTTATATACCTTATCTAAAACAAATTCAACAGAGAAAATATTTCTCTATCTACTCAATCTGAAATCATGGGTCACTGTCTATAATCAAATTTCACCTAACAAAACTGACTGCTTCTATTCAGATGAAATAAAAAATAAAGGAAAACTATCTCTAACTTTACTAGATGGAGAAAATGATCGTTTTTATTAAGATGCAATGAAAACTAAAGAAAAACTATCTATATCTCCATTAGATAAAAAAAAATGATTTCTCTGTTTACGATCAAATAAAACTAAAACAACGCTAACTTTATCTCTATTGAATGAAAAAAAATGACTATTTGTATTAAGATCGAATAAAACTATAGGTAAACTAACTCTATCTCTACTAGATAACATAAATGACTACTTCTATTACGATAGAATAAAAGCAAAAGATAACTAATGGCAAAGTATACTTATTCGTCAATCATTTTATTTAGTTTTATTCAAAAACAATAGTGACGTTTTCCACCTACACACAAAGTCATTATCAACCAAAATGATAGACAGTGAAAAATATGTACAAAATTGTTCTTTTCTTTTGTTTTGGTGTGACGATTGATAAACATTACAATGAAAGGGGGAGATAATATTTCGATCGCAGTGAAATGTTTATCAATAGTACGAACAGAATAAAAGAAAAGAAAAAGGACAATTTTGTACATATTTTTCACTTTCTATCATTTTGCGTTGATAATGACCTTGTGTGTAGGTGGAAAGCGTCACTATTGTTTTTTGAATAAAACTAAATAAAATGATTGACGAATTAGTATACATTATCATTAGCTTATTTTCTTATATCTCGTCGAATAATATAAATAAAGGAACTGTACCAGATGAAAAAATGGCTATTTCGATTAGGATGAAAAAAAAATTAAAAAAAACTAACTCTATCTCTATTAAGATGAAATAAAACTACAGAAACACTAATTTATTTCTATCGAATGAAAAAAATGATTTTTTTTTTATTCATATCGAAAATAACCGAAAGGACACTAATTCTCTCGTTGCTTACTTAGATAAAAGAAATGATTGTTTCTATTAAGATGTAATAAAACTAAATGGGCAATACAATACAAATTGTGGGAAAAGTTTGTTAAGTTCATCAAAGAGAAGAATTGTTGTATACTCGTTTGCCGAATGACTCTGAATTTTTCTAGAATTCTTCTTATTGTTGCACATTATTTGTATTTATTTTTATTGTTTTTGTCAGTGTATTGTAAATAAGACTGTCACGATATCGACAGCTAAAAGATCAACGTTGAAAACAGATGTTGATTAAAGAACTAAAAGTTATGCTGATAATTTTTTATACAGAAAATAATGAGAAAAAAATTTAATATATTTGAGAACATTGACGAATTCATTTATAGGTAATCAATATTCTTTCTCAATATAACGGGATAATTTTATATAGGTTATGAAACGAACGACAAGGTGTTCTGTATTTTTAAAACTGATTTTTGAATTCACGAGAAAGCATTTGACAATTAGGAGAACGACAGATAACGCGTTCTTTTCTCCCTAAGAATGATGTTGGATTGTCTGGAATGCATTCATCAGTTCAAAAAATCCATTCTCAAGTATTTATTGAGAGAAGATCAAAGAAAACGTTTAATGAAAACTTCATGAAGAAATTCAACATCGGATACAACACACAAAGGTCGTGTACCCTCATATAATCCATATATCGATCCATATTTACATGTTCATTCTTGCAATTGTTTTGAATATCTTTTCGCCACCCATAAAGTTCTCAAGTGACCAAAGAAAAATTGATGCGGTGGTCCTGGAATATTACGAAGCCTGAAATAATGAAACTATTGTTAATTATCCATAAATATGTTCCTAAGAAACATATAAGACATGCACAAAGACAAGCGGTTAGAATCATGCTTCTATACTCTATATAATAGAATAAAATAAAAAGAAACGCATTCTTTGATAAAGATTATTATTTTTCTAGACGAAAAGTATAAATAAGCATTTATCTTTGAAGAAAAAAACAGTTATCTATCGTACCATAATCACATGATCATTGAAATAAATCATTACTACGCCTCATATATATGTAAGTACATCTGCTGCTGAATGCAGTATTTTGAGATCTATGAAAATCAAATCTGTGTTCGATTGTTAACTAAAAGAAATGTGATGTTTGAAGATTAAGAAAAAGATGATGATCGCTTGAATCTTGATTACAAAGCAGTCGGTTGTTGAACTACTTCAAATAGGGATGTTCAAAAAGAAAAATACGAACAGAAATGAAGTGTATCTCAAAAAGATTTCCATGTTGAAGATGATTGTTGATCTGAAAACTAGTGAATATCGGATTGACTCTTATTAAGAAAAAAACTTTTAAGTGTGAATGACCACTTCGAATGGAAGACACACTATTTTGTAGAAGATCACATGAGAATCACAAGCTTTTTATAGATATTGTGCTTCGAGAGTTATATGCATCAGCTGATTCCGTCACTTTTAGCTGTCCATTATCACATGATAGACCAAGAAATGCTTACAAATATCGTATTTTGCACATGTCAATGGCGCTATTATTCCTTAGATAAATTATTTACATATTAGAGTCTAAGCATTGTCAGTAATCTTTTGAAGTTGGAGTCTTACTAACCCTTGTGTTTCGAATATGCAACAAATTGTTTCATGGTTAATTCTTCTGCCTGATTTAAAGCAGTATGTCACATATATAGTCAATGAAAATAATAAATAATAAAAAGAAAACACCTAAAACATAACGTTCGTTGATAATGACTACAAGGAATGAATGCGCTTTTATCACGATTACCATCTGAATAACTGTTTATTACGAAAACGAAATAGAGTTCTATTATGCTGAAGAATTCTGAAGATTAAAAAGTTTTATTCAGCATATTATGAGTACACAGATCAGGTCCGGGTCCAAAGAAGCTCAATCAACTGGATTCAGGTCTGAGCTCGGTTCTGAACAAAGTTATTGAATCGACCGGTTTCGAGTTGGAACAGGGTTTGAAAGAGGTTCAATAAACGGCGTCTAAGTCCAGGTCAAAAAATTCTAGATCCGGGTAAGGTTGATTATGAGTGTGGTTCAGAAAGGAACATCTACATCTACACCCCACACGTAAGTGTCTGTACGGTGGTATCAAGAGCGAAAGTGTTGCGTCACGATGTATTCTTTTCAAGTTTTATCTTTTCGATATATTTCTTTTCTATATTTGTCCATCAAACAAAAATTTATACATTTATCTGTACGAACTATTTTGACCACTGAAGAAATTCTCTGACGGTAATGGCAAAATTTGCTATCTTCAATATATTTCGATTAACCAATGTAGTTCTAGATTAATGCTAAATCAAAAGAAAAATGAAATGAACTTTGTTACAAATTCCATTATTTATCAATTGAAGGAATGAAGTTTAAAAATAACACGACTCTTGACATAATATCGATTAATCCGATATTAATCAGAGAAAGTTTTAGTTTGGTTTTTATATAAAAAACAAATAAATAATGTTTCTTGATGACTAGATTACGTTGAAGAATAATGTCTTTCCATTGATTTTCTATGGTCTAGGTATAATGCAGATAAGAGAAGGTTGATTATCAAATCCATATAATATCATCACCTTCGAATTCGTGCTGATGGGTTTTTATCTAGAAGAAATATTTTATTCAAATGAGAAAAAAAAATGTGAGATAAGATAAAACCTGATCGTTGGTTTGATTTTGCTCTTCGGCAGTTAAAATTTCTTCATCATGATGAGTTAAAAATGAATCATGTTCACAATAAGAAACAATTGTATCCGAATGTTTATTGATTAAATATTGTAAAACTTTATCTTGAATTGGATTAGCATCATGTTTATCCATTGGATCATTACCAATATCGAAATCATATTCATAAAGTTGAGCAAGTTCATCATAAGTGAAATGACGAGCAAGTTGTTCAGCATCAATAACACCTAGAATAAAAACGAAAAACTTCTTAAAGAATAAAAATTTTAAATTGAACTAACGATGAAACATGGCTTGTTTAGTTATTTGTCGTTTATAAATTTTTTCTTCCATTGTACCTTTGACCATTAGACCTAATTAAATAAATATCAATATATTTATTTTGATCACGTTTTATTTTAATTAAAAACTAACGATAGATATAGACAGGCTTTGTTTGACCAAGTCGATATGAACGAAACATAGCTTGAAGATCATGAGCTATATATAAAGATAAACATATAAATTTGAATATTTATTTTATTATTTTCTCTAAAATATACCTGGATTCCAACTAGTGTCCAATATAATAACACGATTAGCAGAAAAAAGATTTATTCCCAAACCACCAGCAGTTGTTGAGATTAAAAATAGACGACTACGAGTATTATTAGTATCATTGAATAATTTTATATTAGCTGCTCTATGTTTAATAGAAACTTGACCTAAATAGACAAAAAAAGAAAGAAAATTTCATATTTGTTTGAATAATAAATTTAATCAAAAAAATAACCATCTATTCGAAAATAATCAATATCTTTTTCCCATTTCGATGATAAAGATTGTTCACTCCAATAATCAAGACATTGTTCAAGATAATCAAGAACAATTAAACTTCGACTAAATACAAGTAATTTATCACCAATTGATTCACATTCATCCAAAATTCCTTTCAATATAACAATCTTTCCCGATAATTCAAACTATAAATAATTATCAAAATAAAAAAGAAATCATCGTATTTCTTTCGTCAAGTTAAACTTACATCGAATTTTGTATTCGTCGGATCGAATATATTGAACCACCATTGTTGTTTCATTGCATTGGATAGATTTTCTTGAGAATCTTGATTAACTATGTTTGTAAGTGGTAATGATAATATATTTTGTGTTGATGATATTTCGTTTATTTTATTATATTCATCATCAAAATCATCTTGAAATATATTTTCAAACTGAGTTTGATTTTCTTTTGAGTTTTTATTGTAATATTCAGTGAAATAAGGTTGAAGAAGCCATGGATGCTATTTACAAATAAATAAATAAATCTTTAAAAAATAATTATTGAGAAAAAATAATTTCAACGAACTGTCCAAATCTTCATTAAATATTGATAATCACTAAACAATTTAGCCAATTCTATATATATATATATATATAAAATAAACATAAATATTTATTTGAGTAAATTATTTACTAAGATTATCATTGAAAGAATTCATTCTATGATAATTAATATATGTTTCATAAAGTGTTCGTTGCATTGGTCGACATTTAATCTTAACAGCTAAAAAAGAAAAAAAATAAATATCTTAATTGAAAATAAAATCGAATCATTTTTCAATACCATATTCAAATTTGGGTGGTAAATATGAACGTAAAACATCAAAACCTCGTCGATGTATTATATTCTTTAAAAGTTTATTCAGATCAGAGATACGATTTCGCATAGTTTTAACTTGATATGGTGAACTATCTCGGTGTTGACCAGCCTCAATAGGTTTACGAAAGAGGTGAGAAAACTCACGTTCTGTACCTTAAATAAACATTTTTTTTAAAATTAATTTTCATTTTATTCGATAACTAATTAAACTTACCAAGAAAATTTGGTTTACAAAAATTAACCATAGAAAAATATTCTTTCAAATTATTTTGCATTGGTGTGCCTGTCAAAACTATACGACGACGTGTTCGTACTTTACTCAATGTAGAAGCAATGGCACTTCTTGGATTTTTACTAAAATAAATAATAAAACAAAAATAAATAATTCATTATAAAACTTACATGATATGTCCTTCATCACAAATGATTAGATCAGGACCTGGATTACGTAGATATTTTCCTTGACAAAAATTTAAAAAGAAAAACAAATAAAATAATAATTTTTATTACATAGACAATTCTATACTATATGTGTCAATATTAATTTGCTCAATCAATGATGGTGGTTTCTTGTCTATTTTAAAAATATTTCTAACTTGATCATCAGGTTTATCATAAATTGTAAAGGTTAATTGACGATACATTTCATAACCCATCAATAGAACTCCTCCATTTTCGTACCACTAAAAAAATTCATAGAAACTATTTTACATAATAAATATTTATAAATACTAACAGTACGAAGAAAATCTTCTCGATTTTCTGTTCGAATATCATCATTAGTGAACAAATACACATTAATAGTTGCCTCAAGATCTTTCAACCAATCATCAAACTCATTTCTCCAACTAAAATAAAATAAATAAAAATTTTTTTTCTTTTCTTTCTTTATTTTTTTAAAAATCTTACTTAATAGTAGTGTTGATTGGACATAGAATAAGTACTCGACGAACATGTGTCAAATTTGAATATCGTAAAAGTGTATGAACAAGTACAATAGTAGTTAATGTCTTTCCTAATCCCATACAATGAGCAAGAATAGCACCTGAACCACCTTGATCAATTTTAGTATAATTATCAATACTAGATGCAATTTGACTTGTGGATTCAAATATTTGATTCCATAAAAATTTAACACCGTCAACTAAATTCGATAATGATTATAAAGAAAATTTCAGATAAGATATAGATTTATTACTTTGATGAGGTTTCATATGGATAACAAGTAATAAAGCAACTTCAATAACAACATCATTTGTTTCTGGATTTGTTTCCAAAACTAATTCAAATTCGATGTTTTGTTCTTGTTGATAAGCATCAATTAAATCACCATTATATAATTGTTGTTTTAGAATACGTTCAATACGAGCAGCTTCTTCTCGATCTTGTTGCAATTTTATACGTTGATCACGTTCAATTTGTTCTTTTATTACTTGTTTAGAGTTTTTATTCCATAATTCATTGAGAAATTTTTCTGTTTAGAAAAAAGAAAATGTGATACATGCTCACAGAGAAGAATATTTCTACCTTCAAGTGTTCTTTTATCATATTTTTTCTGTATTCTATTCGTTCGGATGCTATTCGATGAATTTCGACCAGATATTTTTTTCTTTTTGGCAATATATTTAATTGAAACCCGCTGATCAGTATTCTTATCATGCGATAAAAATATCGTTGTAGCCAATTGCAATGGCTTCAGTGTTATTCTCTTGTTCAATGTAGTTGATTGGTTAGATCTACAAGATATTATGGAACTAAAACCAGTCTCTCAATTCAATCGATATTTCTCTTTTTCAATAGTCGGATGTCATTCAGATTTTGACTTTTATTAGTCTTTATACAGTATAGACGATCTACACTATATCTTACATAATTAGGGGTCAGTGTCTGACTCGGATTACGAAAAACATTTTAGATTTTGGGATGGATCTGCAGTCTGGACATCACTATCTTTTATCATTTAAAAGTTCTATAAGAGAACGTGGAACAGCTTAGTAGAGGAAGGAGTTATGTATCATACAATATTTTCTTCTAGTTGGGCAATTTTGTTTTTGTTGACATCGGACAATGATGCATGATGAGTGCACTCTCTGTTCAATGGTTATATAAAGATCGTAGGTTGTATATTTAAGAAAAGAAAAGATTTTATCAAGAATAAAAATAATTCAAGGTTATATACTTTGTTTTTAACTATGAAATGAAACGGAGAAAAAAGGATTCAGGAATTGATTTTCTCAAAAGAAAGAGAAACGTGGTTCATATCAGAGTTCGGCTTGGATCAACTCAAAAAAATTTAATTAGAAATTCAACAATTCTAATTCAAGTTTTTCCCCTTGGAATTGTTCGGAATTGATTTGAAAATCGACCAAGTTTAAGAGTTAGAATTAGTGTAAATTGAAATCTGTACATTCTTATACATAATACGTATTTAAGTTTTACATATTTTATTTTATTTTTCAAAAATGTTCTTTTATGTTCAACTTTTATTTGTTAATGATCAACTAAAATCTAAGTAATTCTTATAAATTTATTATATTATTAGTTTTAATGATATGCTAAGTCGAATATTTGGTTTTGATTGATAATGAACAAATAAAGATCAAAAATTTTCGAAAAAGAAAATAAAATATAGAAAAACTGCATATATTTTTTACTTCTCATTAAAGTTAAATATAATTTAAATAATAGTAAAGAAAAACTTACGGATGAGTGAATCGATTTGTTTTATATATGGTTCGATCGAATCGTTGAGTTTCCATAGAATTGTTGGAAATGTTCCCACCGTCGAGTATCAAACACGTATTATAATCGACTTCGTTCATCTTTCACATATGAATTATCAAACTTTTCCTTATGAAATAAAAGGATAATCGTTAGCTAGTGTGATTTTGAAGCAAGTCTCATCTAATTTATCATCGTTTTTCAAGGATCTTCGCATATTGTATATAGACTAATAATCATAGAAAAATATTGGTGAGTAGGGTGCGAGGTGTGGGTGTTAGAGACGAGAATACCAACACCTACACCCTCAAACATCCATATTTTTCTGAACTTTCCGAGAAAAACTGACACAAAGAATTAACGAATAAAAATTTAAAAAATTGGACACGGTTAAGTTGTAGCGACAAGTGTTAGCTACATCGTGGCGCCGATCCGAAATCTCGAACATATGGAGATCTACTTTTTGATCCTTGATATAGGGATAACTCTTGAAGAACTCAATATTTTGGACTGAAATTTTTATTGTAAGCTCGCTAGGCTCGCACTCATATTCCCTAAAAATTTCAGCTAGAACGGTTGCTCTGAGATAAAATAGATTTTTGACAGAGGACCTTAAGGATCTTCGAATTTTTTAATATTGACTAATAACTTACACAGAAGGTACCTCATCTTATATCTGAACTTTCAATTTTATCATTCTATATTCGACATCCGATATAGAAAAATCTATTTGAGTCGAATTTGAAGCAATATAGGATGTCAGAAACAAACAAACAATAGAAAAATGATTTTCTTACGGTAATCTGAAGTTAACTGATCGTTGTGATTAATAATAAGAAAATATCACACGAATTATAATTCAGAATAGCTTCTGGTTAGCATTGAAGTAATAATAATAGTCAAGCTTAGAAATAATAATAATAGTCAAGCTTAGAAATTTAATTGAAGAATGTTCGAGCAACTATTCGTTTTATTCTAACATAAAAAATGAATGATTTTTTTTTCTCAATGTGGGTAATAGCGAAAAATTAGTTCCTTGTTGGTAACTTCCAAATTACGTGGCAAACATACAGTAGGAAGAAAAGAAATCGAAAGTAGGATATTTTATAAACATTATTTTCTTTTCTGCACGTATCTATGTAACCTTTGGTAGGACGATGAATCATTGTATTTATATTAGTCATAGGTAAATAATGTCTTCACACTGAGTCTGAAAAAAGAGAACAAGTTCACCAACTCTCACTATATTGTCCACGTTGTTATTTTTCAACAAATTATGCGTTACATATTTATATTGTCACATTGTTTTATCAACGATATCTTAGTACAATGTGTTCCAACATTAGTATACAATATATTCGTTTTACACATAGAAGAATGAAGAGCTATAAACTATCGGTAAGGTACTAGATTTCAATATTACTTAATGATTATGTTCTTACAAAAGGCTTCCTAGATTTTATTTCAGTCTTATTTAAGAATGTGTTTAACAATGTAAGAGTCAATGTTCTATACTATATTTTCTTGCTTTCAAAATTGAGCTAAGCGAAGTTGATGAAGCCAATCTATTACTTGTTTTCATTAGAATTCAAAAATTGACATAAATTCTACATTCCTAATTTTATTATGCATAAACAAGATTCTTATAAAATGAAGCATCGTAACGTTAATGAATTTTGGAAAACGCGAAAGCTGTATTTGTTCGTTTGTTTTTTTTTTAACTTTCTATTTATATCTGGAATGTATGTTGACTTATGCACGATGATACTCTTTTTGGTAAATACTCGCTCGTTTGACTTCCGACTGTAAATGGAAGTAAGAAGAAGCTCGGATTATTAAAACATTCAGTTTTTTTTGCGTAAGGAATAGAAATTAAATACAATGATTCATCAACATTTTATTATAAATATACTCAATTCAACATAGAATTCTAATTATTTATCGATTAATATTATTGTCATTTGATAAAAGTGGCAATATCCAAAGAATAATCAAGAAAAATAGATTAGAAAAAACTTGAACAACTTTGAACTGTAAAACAACAGTACGTACAGATTGATGATTTCTATTTGTTAGATCTATAGATACTGTTTTCTACAATCAGTTTATTCACAACTATTGAAACAATTCTAAATATCAAAGTACAGGTATATTTACAATGACGATTAGATGAAGAATGGATTCCATTAAGATACAATATGTGGAAAAAAAACACCTCAAAATACACATCGTCTGCCTGATGATATTTCTATAAGATGTTTTGTAAGATCGCTGAATCGAATTATTTATCTTTATTTGATTTCCTGACATTGTTTAAATTTCAATACTAATTTTCTAAACACATTCATGACAATAAAAAGTGACATTAACTTCAGATAACCATGAGTGATTGTGTCATGAATCATTCTCGCGAAAATGATCCTACTGTTAAAAATGTAGTAGATACATACGTGATTGTTGAAGGTAATTCCTTCACTTTTTGTTTCAATTAAGGAATAAATCCTAATATTATTTGTTTTTGAATTATAGTCAGTTTTTTTTAATATGCTTATCTAATTAATAGAATAATGACGAATGCAGTAAGAAAAGCAGTGCGGTTGTATAAGGCAAGAAAAAAAAACAACATGCACATGTCACTTTTTTCTCGTCCTGTTTGCTGTCTTGCATAATTAGTCAATAGAATTTCGCAACATTGGATAATTAATTAGTCAAT